GAGCGTTTGCAGTTACTATGAAGAAGAAGATGATGATACTTTGCCTGTCTTAAAGCATCACAGCGCCCTCCTGGAGAATATGCACATAGAGCAGGTATGGCTAGAAAAACCTCGGGTTTCCTTGTTAGCTGTGGTGCTGTCTCTGCCGAGTGTGGGACGTTCTGCCTTCTGGAGGCAACGCCAATGCTTTGTAAGAGTTTGGAAAGTATGTTGGAGTGTCCTTATGCAAGGTCCTGTTTGCTGCAGCACTGGCTCACCTGGAAAGCTTAATTTTATGTTTTGCAACTCTGGAGTTTCAGTTGTGATATTGAGGACTGGCAACTCTTCCAGTGCTTGGAGAGGGGGTGCCAGTTTTGCAATCTCTTTCACAGGTGATGTGAATGCAGACAGTTGGGCTCAGAGTACAAGGCCACATGAATGTGGCAGAGATGTTAAGCTACTGGCATCAGCTGCTCCCTTGACAGCCATTTTTTGGCTCAGGAGCCCCTGCAGAAAGGGCGTGGTCTTGGGCTGTGACCCAACCTGCTGAATATGTAACCATTTCCCCCTGTTCATTGCCCAGCTTGCCCGGCGCTTGCCCGCACGAGTGCAGGGATACCCATGGCGGCTTGCATACAGTACGCTGGAGCACGGGACTAGCCTGAAGACTCTCTACCGTAAATCAGCATCTCTCGACAGTCCAGTTCTCCTCGTCGTCAAGGATATGGACAACCAGGTAAGGAATGCTTGTTCTGCGGGGTTGGACTGAAAAGGCAACATTATAAAAAGTGATCAATATGAAGTACTAGTCATACTGTGAAGTGACATGACACCAAAAGAAGGCATTGGTGTTTTCTTTTATATTTTCTACTGCTTAAACTAAACTTACAGGCAGGAAAGCGCATCAGCACTAATAGAAATACCCGCCCCCCACATCTTCATAATTGCAGTGAGTGCTCCTTTTAATAGTGCCCATGGTAGTATCTTTCTTAGGTCTCTCAAGCTGCCACAAATAATGCCTCTGTGGAGGTCTAGTACTTCAGTAGCTCCTAGAGTCAGCATTCCTGTTGCTGTTTTTGTCATCTGGCTTTTAACTGGCAGAATACAAAAGGTTTGCAGGAGTACTTGCTCATCTGCTGTACTTTACTAGTTGTTTCTTCTAATATGAAACACCAGCTCAGTTGTTCTTCAGAAAGTATTTTGAAATGTTTGGGGTTTTTTCTCTTGAATTTTGCACTGTCTTCAAAAGTAGTTTAATCATTTTATTCTGACAGATATTTGGAGCGTATGCTACGCATCCCTTCAGGTTTAGTGACCATTACTATGGCACTGGTGAAACATTCCTCTACACATTCAGTCCAAATTTCAAGGTAAGTGGGTGTTCGCTTTCTCAAATAAGATCTTTCGGTTCCACTTCTGAAACATTTATGAGATTTTTATGAAGACAGCATATTTGAGTTCAGAAGATGTGCTGGCTGTTGATGAATGCAGTTAATCACTCATTGCTTCAATGCAATGCGTTAAGCAAACGTGTCTGTAATTACCTGAATTGCCGAGAGGACAGTCTGTAAGGGTGAGGAGAGGGTTTTAAGTGGATTGAAGGGGGAAGCAGGGAGGAGTAAGAAGTGGACTGTCAAAGGCTCACCTTGGAAGGCAGTGGCATCAAGAATAGGGTATGATTTCACACGTGCTTACGATCACAGTGACAACAAACCAGATATAAGAGTGCTACTGAAATACCCCTTAATGGTCATGGCTTATGCATTTTTCAGTATTGAACACGTTGTTCCTTTTTAACAGAATGCCTGTTGATTTAGAGATGCAGGCAGAATTTTAAAAAGGATTAGGGTGCCTTGTTTATAGTTTTAAATATGTGTTGTTCCTTTACTTTCTACCTATTACCTCTTCCTCCTCCCCCTTCAAGAAAAAAATAAAATAAAATATGACCACACCAAAAAATACCTGCTAAGAGTCTGTCCCCGGTAGTTTTAGAGTACAAGAATCCTCACAGTCCAAATATATTTGGGGTTTTCCCTCCCCCAGGTATTCAAATGGAGTGGAGAGAACACCTACTTCATCAATGGAGACACCAGTTCTCTGGAGCTCGGAGGTGGAGGGTGAGTGAATGTTCGGTTGTCAAATCATGTAGCTAATTTATTTTTAAATGAGAATAGGGACAATGGTAGTTGCAAGAAAAACTGATCAGTAAAATGGCTGAACTTAATTTCAGTAAACTGTTTAGGGCAGATACCTCAGCAATCTGATTTCTGTTATAGTCCCAGAGCGGTTTCCATTGCTTAGAATGACTGATGTTGGGCAATCAATTTTATTTATTTTTTTTTTTTTGGATCAGGGAGAAAAACAGATGTTTTGGGTAGATAACATGTCTCATTGCTGAAGAGGTTTGCCACTGGAAGATAATCTCTAATGGCAGTTTTGCCATCAGCTTCTAAGGTTTCTCACATAGTCCTTATTAAATTGTCATTATTCTGTTGCTACACAGAGCAAGGATACAGACCGTGCTTAATCAGGTCCTAAATGTCAAAGGTCATTGGCTGTGAAATCAAGGGCTAAGGCTATGCAACTAACTAAAGCTGACTGCAGGCTGCACCAGGGGACGTCTGGGCATGGTTTGCATTGAGAGTGTACAAACACCCCTCCTCCTCCTCCTAAGCCAGAAGGGGCCGTGTTCACATCCAAACAGCCAGGGAAGGGACCCCGGCATCCACGCCCTGGTGTCGGTCACAGCCACAGCTGGCGGTGCAAACAGCTGAAGGGCATGGAGGGCCGCGGGCGCACGCTCGGTCCTGCGCTCTGCCCCGCTTGCTGGCGCAAACAAAAGCGAGGGGACTGCTCCGTGAGCTGCTTGGCAAGTGCTTTGCCAGGATTGAACTCTTCACGTTCAGTCTAACAGATCCTTAGAATTACCTAGATTCCTCTGTATCACTCCTAGTAGTTTCTACAGCTTCCAGTATTTTTACTATTATATATTACCTGAAATTTGTTGTGTATTTCATTTTTAGTGGCCGGTTTGGCTTATGGTTAGATGCAGATTTGTATCACGGGCGAAGCAACTCCTGCAGCACCTTCAATAATGACATCTTATCCAAAAAAGAAGATTTCATAATACAAGATGTAGAAGTATGGACATTCGAATGAAATACTGACTGCCTTAAGGACTGGATCCATTAGGCACTTAAACGCTAACTAGAAGGTGCAGGCTGCCTCACAAGGTTGCACGCTTTTTCCTCAAGTTTGTACCAGAGCATGACTACGCAAAAAAACCCAACCAACCAACCCAAGAAAAAACAGAGCTGGTTTTGAGAGGCAGTAAGAGACAGAACAGTAAGAGATCAGTCTGAAGTGTTTTTTACGTCCTCCTCCAACACTCCTCCATCGAAGATATGATGCTTATGAAAATATTCATGGTGTATAAGTTGAAAACTTTTTCTGTAACTGTGAAAAAGATCCTGTGGGAAATCTATAACTATCTAGTACATTCCATGTGTATTTATGTTCAACGTACAAATGCTAACCAAAAATAAAAGGTTGCTTTACCAAAATCTACAACATACTGTTTGCCATGGAAGAGAATCAGAAATAGGTGTACACAGCACTTAAGGGAACAGGTTTTTTAAATCTTTTTATTTATTGTTATTGTATAGTAGATTTTTTTTTTGTGTAAATGTATTAGCTGTGAGTTTTTTCTTTGAATGTTTCAAATCTCAGTTTGATAAATAATTACTGTTCAGGTAGGTTTCTTATGCATTGGCATTTATTCTGAATCAATTTATTTGATTTCTGAAGTTAATTTTTATATTTTTATTTTGTAAATGAGGTTTGGTTTCCATTTTACCCTAATTAGAGGGTTTGTTTTCTGGCAGAAACACTTGAGTGCATAATTCTGTTTTGGTTTTTTTTCTGAGATGAGGGAGAAGGTGAATAGTGCTTCTTATTAACTCTGCTGCCACATTCCTGTTAATAGATTATTATTTTGGCAGTGTGTGGAGACACTGGGCAAACTGCCACCCTGGTATAGACTGTATCAGCTCTGTTGCAGTCAACAGAATTGGGACAGCATGCTCTGAGCATCTGCCCTGGTATTATTTGACTGTTTACAAAGGACATTTCTAAGAGAGGATTGTTTTTCTGTATCACCACCAAATGATTCAAAATAAGCCACCCACTGTGCTTTTATGAGCACTTCTCTACCAATTGAAGAATAACTGCTTTGTTAAGGAGAAAATACAATTGAGATTTAGAGAAGAATGCTGTTTCCCTAACAGGCCTGGTCATGTTAGTGTAATACTTGTTTTCTTAGTAATTATATATATATATGATTTCCTTCCCAAAAAAAGACTTGAAGCAGCAGGTTGGCTTAGGATTTGACAGGCAACTAAATATTCTTCTTGGTTTTCCATGAAATAAACAGATACTTTTCCCCCTCCCCCCTCACCACTGAAAAGACAAGACTGCATGTTACAAAATGAAAATTTCGGAAAATAGAGAGAGTGTGACAGAGGACTGGCAATCTTCACTGTTTGCTAAAGAATTCTGCTTTCCCATTATGCTGTGGTTCTGTTTACACAGTCCAGACCCAGCCAACATTAGGATGCTGTCCTGCCCTTAGAATCGAATGTCTCGTGGTCCTGAGAAAGGCGGGTTTTAGAAACAGTAGTGTGCTTCTATGCATTAAACAGTACAGTCTAATTTTGGAATATTATTAACTGAGTAATAAAATTCAATTTAGTTACTGTTCTTCCCCTTTGGAACAGATTTAAAAAAAAAAAAAAGGCAGCCAAGTGGTTTTCTTTCAAAAGCATTACTAAATCTTAATCCTGCACAGAAATTTCACAATCTAAAAGCCGATGCTATCTACAGTAAGCCTGTAACACGCTGCACGTGAGCTTTTCACACTTCCCTTCTGTGTGGTCTACTACAGCCATGAATAAAGTTCTTATTGGTAATGCTGTGACATATTTTGGAAGTTGCTAACAGCATAATGCTTTGACAATACCAGGAATATCTAATACTGTTTGCTCTTTTAAATGGTGGCAGACCACTTAATAGTTTAAAAAAAAAACCCAAACCAACCAAGTTCCAACATTTTACATACATTTCACTATTGCTACCTACAACTTACTCCATTATATTATCCTTGTCAGAGCATATCTAAACGCTGTGGTCTATATTCAAACAGTGTTGTTCAATCAAAATTCTGTGACCCTTGAAACTATGAATATTGAATATATGTAATGCAGTGCTATCACAATATTTTCAATAAAGGAATTTATGCATTCAGAGACTTGTTACAGATGTTTTCTTTTATTCACCAATTTTAGTACGTTTTAAAGATGAAAGGATGCAGCTTAAGTTACAGGTTATGCTGATAAATACCCACGCCTGCCCTCAAAAAGAGACTTCCAGCGATATCACATTCTAGAAACATGGCTAAGGAGTTGGGAGCTTTCGGCGGGGGGGTGTTGTGTGGTATAGCATCTCCTAAAATAGAGCTGTGTTTTGAGTTCACTCAAAGACAGACTCTGACAAAGGGCTAAGAAATAACGATAAACAGTTAAATAGTTGACCTAGTAGTTCTCGTTGCTCCTCTCGGCTGTAGTGAATGACGGGTATTCCCTCATCTTTTATGACCAACCTGTTCCCAGAAGTCAAAAGTCTGTATCATTTTTGTGTGCAGCCTTTTTATGCTGCTGAAATATTCATGTATTTTTCTTTCTGTCCAAGCAAGACAAAGGCATACGGTGTCTTAAAAGTACTTGGTTCTTGACTTCATCGGTTTTGTGGTGTACAGAGGTGGCACTAAGAAAAATCAAACTACAGTTATGCATGGAATGGAACCAGTATGCTGTGAACCTTGCTTTGAGTGAAATGGCGGTAAGAATTCTCTTAATGTAAAGTAAAAGGAAAGTTACGGTCACTAATAATTTTTCTCTTGGAGAACAAAAGCTTGTTCTTGCAACATGAAGCATATGTACTTTAGTGGTACTTGGATAAAGATTTTTGATTCAGGACAGTGTTGAAATGCTCGTTCACAATAAGGCTTGTAAGTACCCAGTTAAGGGCAGATGTTCAATTTGGTGCTGATTTCAGTGCAGTTTTTGCACCGAATGTTTCGTATGAAGCTGGCTTTAGAGCAAAGTAACCCCCGTTACTTTCAGAATAATCCTTGTGTGTAAACTTTCAAGATTTCACTTCCCTGTTTGTAGCAGAGAAAAGGGACAGGTTAGCTCATTGCAAAGGGGATGCCTTGCGCTCTGCAGGTCAGCAGTTGCTGGCAGATGTGCTTCTTCAGGTAGCATAGCTAACCGTGTCCTATTTGTACAAGCACAGCTTGCATGCTCAGAAAGAAATGCGTTTTTGAAAAATCTCATTCCAAATTTTGCAGCTCGTTACCTCTCTAAACACTATGGCCTGTCGTCTGTGGGACAGGTACTTTGTGCCATTTGGGCTGCACAAAGAACATAAACCTTGAAATTCTGTGGTCGGGGATTCTGCAGCTCTGCGACTCCAGTCTAATGAGGAGTGGAAGTTGTTTAAAATGCAAATTATTAAGAAAACATTTTTAGAAATTGAAGGTTAGCTACTGCTTAGAAATACCCTCTGTTAGCTTTGGAGGCAGTTGACAGGAGGAGGGTGGTGAAACCCTGGAAGGGGTTGCCCAGAGAGGTGGTGGATGCCCCATCCCTGGAAACACTCAAGGCCAGGCTGGATGGGGCTCTGAGCAACCTGATCTGGTTCAAGATGTCCCTGCCCGTCGCAGGGGGGGTGGACTAGGTGGCCTTTAAAGGTCCCTTCCACCCCAAACCGTTCTCTGATTCTATGAACTGATGGAGCTCAGAATGCGTTCACTTAATTCTATTCCCAGTTTGTACCCGTTTTTTTTCCTTAGTGAAACCCTAGGGCGCGCAGCCCTTTCATGCGTTTTCGTTGACGCGTCGGGGCTGCGATGCAGCGTGCGGCTGCAGGATTGCTGCAAAGGGCCAAGGCAGCTCTGTATTTTACCCGCTTAGAAGCAGCCTTCCCCCTCGAGCTGCGTATGACTTCATCGAAAGAAAAGTTTCTTACGTCGGGGCTGGCGGGGCGCGCGCCGGGAGCTGTGGGCGGGGCTACAGCCGGCACGGGGCGGGGGGGGCGCGGGAGGAGAGAGAGAGA